CGTGCAAGGTAGGCAATGATCGCCTTGCATGATCTTCATTCTGATGAAGACGGTCCTCTGCATCTTGCATCCTCTTCACAGCCATTTTGCGGTACTCTTCTTCTTCGCCAAGACGTTCGCGAAGCCGAAATCGTTCTTGATCAATGGCTGCGCTGTTTCCAGCTAGCCCTTGGATCTCGTTCACGGCCCGCAACTCCTGGTTCTTGACCAAGTGGAATCGTTCCTGCATTGCTTGTAAGGCTTGTTCCGACCTTGCTGTGTTTGACCGGAGGACCAAGTTCTCTCTGGCATGTTCATGAAGTTCATGAGTCAGACGCTCATACTCACGTGCCATAAGCTCACCATCGCCTTGCGCTCTTGCCTCCAACTGCACAAAGTTAGTGGCTGCCTCCGTGCGGAACACGTGTAGCTGTTGAGCTAACTCCTCGGCAACGGCATGTGCTTGACGTTGTTGAGCAGAGTTCTGTTCATCCATGCGAAACAAAGCTGTTTCATAGTCTCGCTTCATCTCCTGATTGACATTGTTGATGTGCCTCATGGCTAAGCATGCATGGTCACGTTGTCGTTCCAATTCTTCAATGCGAATTCCAGATCCTTCATCTTCTTGTTGCATCTCCTTGATCTTGTCCATCAGGGTCTGAACAACTCCTTCGTACTCTTGCATCTGACTGCGATAGTACATCTGCTGCGCAAGGTTAGATGCTTCGAGCTGTTGCGAAATCGTCAGTTCCTGATAGCATTCGGACCATCGGCTATGGCTGGCGTGGTCACCGATGACGCATCACCACGTGCTGGGATAGTGTCCAGAGTCATATCCAGATCGTCAGCATCACGTGGTTGATTGGTAACCATCCGATTCCAAGTCATGGATTTGTCACGCCCACGAGTAGCCGAAGTCCTCGATCGTGCTGAAGAGCTTCTCGAAGATGATGGTCTTGACTTCTTTTCCAAGGTCTTCACTCCTTTGTCCTTGGCCCTGGACGTAGTCCGAGGTGCCTGAAAACCAGACGCTTCGGCTCGTCGTTCGGGAGCCTTGCCCGTCCTCGAACCTGTGGATGTCGGACGCGAAGGCGTAGATGCTCTTGGTAGACTCTTTGCTTTCACCTTGGGAACTGCCTTTGCAATGGCAAGCGCAGAAGATTGACCTTTGTCATCTTCCGTGGAGCTATCAACGGATTGCACCACTGTGTCATCAGCTGTTGACTCACCAACGGCTGGCGCTGCCACATCGGCACCGAAAGTCATTGTCGTATCTTGGCTTGATCCCGAGTTCATTGTGGTCGTAGTAGATCAAGTAGTCGTTGCTGTAGAAAGGCAGAGCCGCGTACGGCTGATAACCTGCGTGGGGGATTGATCTCGACTAGGTTGCTGCTCTCCCCACCAGAGCTGTAATGAATGTAGGTGTGGCTGGCTTGCACTCTCCACAGACTGGACCCTGTCTCTCTTACACTTCCACACGTGCAATCCTATGCAGGCAGAACCGGCGGCCGTTCCTTTTGCACTCACTGCCGGCGGCGGTTCGTCTGTGCAACGGGATAGCTCTGATTGCTCAGGATAGAAGACACTTATAGCACTTAGCTATGGGCATTGACTTGAGCCAAACGTTGCGTGGGCGGTCACATAGAAAGGTAAAGATGAGGGACGCGTAGCGTGCCCCCTTAGAGTCGAGGGACGCGTAGCGTGCCCCCTTCTCTTGCACTTTACACGGTCTTGCTCACAGCTCTTATAGTGACACCTTAGAACTTGACAAGGCATCACAGTCCGTTCGCACTTTTGGATTTCGGGTTTAGAGTTTATAGGGGTTCGCCCCAACACCAAGCTCTGAGATCTTGGGGTGCTTCTTCTCCACAACTTTCAGAGGTCTTCACGAAAAGTCCCTTTTGACAGGCTCGGCTCCTTGATATACCGGGGCCATCAGCAAAGGATTCCTGGAACTGCGACATGGTACGGTCGATGATCTAAATCCTGCATGACCCATAATAAGGCATACGTGGCAAATCTGGTATATTCCTTATTATGGGTCATGCAGGATTTATATCATCAACCGTATGACAGCCCAAAACCAAGAGATTGATTGGTAAGGGTTTCTTAACCACGCGCACGAGATCCTCATCCCAAATCATGATCGGATTCCTGGTGATAGAACGAGATACTTTCTAAAAACCAGAAACACTAATTGAGCCACTACGCCCCGATCCGAAACATCTAAAGAATCTAGGGCATGCGTCTGAACCCTGAACCCCAATTACACTTTAAGGCACCTCAAATTCAAGCATCCGGGCGTCCATCCCTCAACCCTCCACCCAAACACATGCAAGGAGGGGTAGTGGCATCGTAACGTCGAGGCCCCTGCGCGCTTTTGACCTTGCCGCCTGCGAAAGAGCTGGAAACTCTGAGGACGAAACATACAAAATTAAACTGCGGTTTGAGACTTCTGTCGCACCTGGGGCTGCCGTCTCCTCTTTCTCCTCCTCCTCTTCGCTGCAGTCCTCCTGAAGGATAATAAGAACATGGGAATCCCTTGGTGTAGATGCACCCTAAGGAACCTACCTTTTAGTGGGATCCCTAATATGATTTCTTTGTACAAGTCCTGAAAAAGGTAGGTTACTTGGGGTTAAGGTAGGGCTTAGCTAAGAGGATGGGCTTTTAGTTCAGGCTTCTGGAGGTTTATTGAAAAAGGACGCTGTGCAGGATACTACCGAGCCCCGTAAACGGCTCTCCGCGGTGCAACCAAAGGGTCCAAGTACCCGATAATCAATATGGATACTTCTCTAAACTAGGGTCACCTTATAGGCCTGCTGAAGAGAACTACCCATATACTCTCAGATACGCTGCTACAACCCCACCCAAACACCTAGTTTTTGGGTCCTTCGGGCTATTCTTTTTGCTCACCCCTGGGCCTTGCGGTGTATAGGGATCGTAGAGTACCGCAAAAGGTTTCAGGATGCGCAGCCAGGAGCAGAACTGGGTTGTAGTTTTGGGATCCGTAAACTTATGTAATTATGAACAGGTACCTCTACACGGACAAGAAGGGAATGTACAGTTTCCCAAGGTGCCACCTAGAGAAAAGCTTTGGAGCATTCGGGCTTTAGGGCTTGGCTTCTGAGGGCTGTAGATCGGATTTGCTTTCCGGGCAGTTGGTTTAGGTCGTATGTTTGAGGTGTAGCGGATTACGGACAAGGAGTTCATTGCGGCTGCTACATGGTGTCTGAAGCTTTTGCCCGATGTTTCAGGTGTATCTCCCTTCGGATCAGGATAATGTAGGAGCCTGATTAAGACACCCTGGGCCTACAACCCCAGAACAGTAGGCTTCATATAAGGAGCCCGAATAAAGGCCCAATTTAGGAGTTTAGGGGTTTAATTAAGGGTTAAGGGTTTTTTTGTTGAGGGTTTAGGGCTTTGTAGGGCTTAGGGAAGTTGCTGAGCTCCAGGCGGCAAAGGACAGGACGTTCTTCTTGTGTACAGGCGCGCGCCTGGAGAAGCCCAAGTACTTTGTAGATATTCTGGGCCTAAATGGCCTAAAGGTGTATATCTACATAATATACATATATATATGTATATAGTGAAATCCCTGTGAATTCAACCCGCCAAATCGACATACAATAGTTGAAAACCCAATAGCCTCAATCCTTAAGAGTAATGTAGAAGGAATCCCAGCTCTTTTTGGCCTTAATCCGGTTTCCAACTTTATGTGGTTTACTGTAGTTGCTAGACCAGAGAGTGTGTCTACTATGGCAAATATCTGGAGCACAGAACAAAGGCAAACGACTCGCCTTTGCAAAGCGCATCCGGTTCAGGATCCTATTAATCAATGAAACGCATGCACCAACCCAACCGCTAAACGACACCCTCGAAGCCGCCAGCGGCATGGCTGCGGTTGCGAACGTGCGCAGACAGAGAAGCTGGTATACAGTGGTGCAGAGAAGGAGGGAAGCCGGAAGACACCACCCTAAACCCTAAAGCCTGATACCCATAATTAGTCCCCAAACCCTCTAATCCCTATACACCAGGGCCTCAAAGGTCGGGGGTGGCGCAAGCTGCTTTGTTGGACTCCCGGCCCTAAAGGTCCACCCCTAAACGACATCCCACTCTGAACCCTGAATGCGGGACATCGTCCCCGAACAGAATGATAACGCGCAAGGACTTTATCCACGGAGGCTTCGACAGCACACAGATCCGAATCGCCCCGAAAGCCTAGGACCCTAGCAGCCAATACAAATCCTGCGCACCTAAAGGCCTTAAGGCTCTATAGGCTCTACCTGGGCCTGCGGTTTTAAAGGTTGTGGGGTTTAGGATTTAGGGTTCCCTATTATCAGGGGGGTCATAACCAACTATTTTGTAGGGTTTGGGATGCAGGTGAAACTTTACTCTGAACCCAAGGACCTGAGTTTTACCCTAAACCACAAGGCCCTAAACCCTGGACCCGTCACCCCTGTTGCATCGATGGTAACCCTCATGCTACTCCCTAAACCCTAAACCCCAAACCGTAAACCCCCAAAACCCTAAGCCCTAAACCCCCAAAACCATAAACCCCACAAACCGCAGAGGGGCCTGTGCTCATCCTTGTCCTTCAGGGACTTGGCAGGCCCCCCTACCTTGTAGCGCCTCGGATTCAGGATCTCATGCTCGGCTCTTCGACGACACCACTTGGAGACCTCAAAAGGTAGGACGAAGGTAGGTAGATGAAGGATCCCTTATATAAACACGTCTATTTGGGGATTATCCCACCTACCTTCATCCTACCTTTCGAGGCCCCTGAACCACAGCAAGACAATCAACTCTGTATTTGACGAGCGCAACGGTTACTAATTTGCTGGCAGGTGCAGCAGCCTGATCTTTAATGAAGTTCCGGGGCCCGCTTTTGCAGAGCCTGGCCAGACCTCCTTGACTCCATGTGCCTGCCTGTCCCTGCAAGCACAAATGCAGCGTCTTTGAAAGCTGTACACTATACGAGAAGTCTGAGTGGTCTGCCAGGCTACCCCTCAACGCTCTCTTGCGTCTCAGGGAAAAATGGTGGCATTTCCAAGGCGCCTCTGCTTCCAGTCGGGGCAATTGTCGACATCATTCAAGCAGGTCATGGTGACCCTGATGTCGTCATAGGTGCCGCTCCCCGGCACATATGGGCCATCGTGGCTGTCCTCGAAGCCCACAGTCCGGTAGTCGTCAAAAACGTGGCATGGCTCTTGAACCCACGGGAGTTTTGCACAGTTGCGCCTGCGCCTGCAGTTCTTGCTCCAGCCAGAGATCACGTAACTGCGATCGCGTGCTTGCTCCTCCAGTGTGTAGACATGTGGGCCTTTACCGATGTAGCGGTTCGAATTGGTCGCGAAGTTCTGGTCATTCTCGCTATACCAAATCTGCGCTCGGACTTCCTTCGCTGCACTGTAGGTGACCGACAGCTTCACAGCTTGGTTGGCCGGCACCACTGCAGTGAGCGCAAGGCTCTGATCTACGCCCTGGCCAGTGGGGCCGCTGGGAGCGGCAACAGCCAGGCACACGGAACAGGCCATCTGCCTCTGCAAGGACGATCCCATGGCCTTCACGAGTCAACGAACTCCGGGAACGTCACTGCAGCTGGAGCCAAGCGGACGCTAAGGCACTGGCACAAGCAGAGGGAGAACCCTCTGCAACTCACAGGGCTAGGGCTTGCACAAACAGGGTGTTACAGTAGGTTTTGGGTTAGAAGGGTTTGATGGCTAAGGACATTGGGGGTTTGCTTGCTTGTGAGTCTGTTGCGGGTATCGCGTCGTCGCAGCTCAATTCGCTTCCTTCTCGAAGCACACGAGCCATCAAGTTCATCAACCCAAAACCGGAAGTACCTATAGTCTCCATTGAGGTTCCTTTTTTGGTTATCCAATTATAATAGAGATTTTGGTTAACCAAAAAAAGGAACTACAAATGGAGACTATAGGTATACTTGTAGACTTGTAGGTTTGGCTGAGACAGCCTTCGGTCATAGAGCCAAGCTGTACGGCTTACATGCCAATGGACCCTTCTCCCCCAGAGACTCCAATATCCCTTAATTAAGGAATATTCCTTAAAGTATAGTCCCTAATATGATTTAAGGTATATTCCTTAATTAAGGGATATTGGAGTCTCTGGGCCTACTTTTCAGACCTAGTGGACAATCCAAAGAAGATGCCACAGGGGGACCTACCCATAGGCTCCTAGTAGTTCCTTTTTCGGGGTTCATATATAGAATCCTGTAAGGTAATCCCTAAAAGGAACTACTATGGAGCCTCTGGGTAGGTGGCCGCAGGTTGAAAGCACGGACCTGTGAGAAGCACCAAGACTCCATTTCTGAGCCACCATAATAGTAGGATACCTTCTGGCATTCCCTAAGGGTCCATGTACCCATATAGAGATACATGGGCCCCAAAGTACCTACATAGGGACTACATTAAGGCCAATGTTTGTACTATATGAGTACATGGACCCTTAGGGATTGTGAGGAGGATGCATGATTGAAACGACGGCTATGCTTTGAGGGTTTAGGGTCGTTGAACGTCTGCTTGAGCGCTAGAAGCCGCTTCTATCCTGAATCCAGCAAGCTCGCGGCCCTGCCGTAGACCAACAATCGAGCATATAATGCACTCCCGTGGCCAATGCGGGTTCGGCACGGCTCTAGGTCGCCGAAGGGGTCCCAAACCAGCTCCGCCCGAACTATCCTCGAGACAAAGCGTAGGACATGGCTCTATAAATGCTATACACCCTACATTTGCATACTACACCAGACCCAAAACGCAAACATTTGCATACTACACCAGACCCAAAACCCAAACATTTGCATACTACACCAGACCCAAAACCCGAAACCCCAAACCTAAACCGTAGACTCCCAGATCGCCGGCATCCTAAAGTCTACATTACCCCAAATCGCGATACCCAAGCCGACCCTACCTATAGTCTCCATTGTAGTTCCTTTTTTTGGTTAGCCAGTTTTATGGTTAGGACCCTATGATAGAGATTTTGGTTAGCCACAAAAAGGAACTAGAATGGAGACTATAGGTAATATCAGTTTGAAGTGCCGCCGCATGTTCAACCGCGAATTGGATTGAAATGCATGGGTCCAGCTTCCGAAGCCCGACCTTTGCGATATAAACACGCAAGAGGGCTCTAATATAGGGGCCTTAATAATTACATAGAATAGGGTTTTGGGGCACATTATACCATAATTATAATAAAGAGCCCCCAAAATATTACTTCGGTCCTTATATTGTTGACCCTAAACCTACAGCCAAGATCTAAAGGTTATAAGGGTTAGGGCTGTTAGGGTGTTGGACTCAGGCTTGAGGATTCTATAGCTCGCCCGGCTGCGAAGAGCAATCCTCGGTGGGTCAACGGGGATGTCGTTCTTGTCCACCTGCCAGCTGTGTAAGCTTAAGCCTCGTAGGGCTTGTGGGGAAGCGCATGCCTTTTGGGTTTTTCTTGTGGTGTGATAGTCGGCATATACTACAGGCCGAGTAATGAGAATAGGAGCTCTGTGCTGGTAGCATGTCCGTGAAACAAGAAACAACCCAGGGACTATACACCCTGTGCATCCTCTAGGCCCTATATGCCCTCACACCGGGTAGAAAATCCGGACCCCAACTGAAAAAGCCCACCCACCTGATGGCTCTAACCCCGCGGCCTGCATAAGAAACCCTGTAGCGCGGTCTTAACAAAGGAACCCAAATGGGTAGTTTTCAAAATTATGGTCCCTTCTTGGGTCCCTAACATAGTACGGCACCTAATATTTAGGATACCCAAAAAGGGACCATAATCTTGACAACCACCCGAATGAATAATACTGTTGATGAAATAAATCCTGCATGACCCACAACAAGGTATATACCATAATTCCCATATGTTCCTTAGTATGGGTAATGCAGGATTAATGTCATCAACCCTAAACCCTAAAACCCCCTATAGATCCCTTAAAGGAGCCCCTTAAAGGTACCCTTATAGATCCCTTGAAAGGAACCCTAGGATTTTCCAACCCTAAGCCCGGACCGCTCCCTTCATGGGATCGACCTCGACCTCGTTCAGACGCACGAGGTTGTAGATGGTCTGTCCGACCACCTTCGTACCCAGAGACTCCAATATCCCTTAATTAAGGAATATACCTTAAATCATATTAGGGATCCTACTATAATTTAAGGAATAATCCTTAATTAAGGGATATTGGAGTCTCTTCGCAGGTTCAGGCCCTGGGGGTGTAGGGATGTAGGTTCGGGCTTTTGGGCTTGGGGTTCGGGGATAAGGAGTTTAGGGTTTAGGGCCTGGGATGGCTCGGGGTCTGAGAGTGTAAGAGTTTAGGATGGACAAAGAGTGCCGGAAATATTGGGCGGAGGCTGTCTCAGAGCTTAGGGACCCGCCTTAACATGGATACGCCTTGGCTCTCGAACTCCCAGTCACCAAACTGGCTACTTGAAATATCTCTGCACACCTTGGAGGCCTTGGAACCAATGCCCAACACACAAATCAGAAACTGCTCAATCCCAAAGCCTCTCTACCCTGGCAATCCTCAAAACACCTAAGCCGAACGCTTCAATGCTTCACCCGCTCTCAACCCTGCTCCAGACGTCCCAAGAACAAAAGCCTTGAAGCCTTGTCTTGGCCCCTGAGCCCCCTATAACTAGCGAAAAAGCACCTGCCCCTAAACCTTTGAGAAAGCTCAAGCCCTGAACTTAAACCCAGAATGCCGGGCCTTGCCGAAGAGTGTGTGCTTGCCATCTAGGGAGGGAAGCCGGCCCATGGCTATGAAGAACTGGCTGCCTGGATTACGGCTCAGGGGTCTGGGGTCTTATTATTACTATTATTATTATTATTACCATTATTATTATTGTTATTGTTATTATTATTACTATTATTATTATTACTACTATTATTATTACGATTACTATTATTACTATTATTATTACTATTATTATTATTACTACTGCATATCGGATTTAAGGGCTCAGGATGTCAAGCTTGCTTTGTTTGAGCACCTTTCTCCATCCGCCTGAACGGTCTTATGGGAATCAGGATGTCAAGTTTGGGGTTTAGGGCTCAGGGTTTGAGGGTTTAGGTTCTATGGGATTTCGTGTTTACGGGTGTTTGGGGTTCAGGAGTTCAGGGTTCGGGGTCTACGATTCAGGAGCTCAGGGTTCAGGGTTTACGGTTCAGTTTCAAGGTTTGGGGCCCTAGAGCTTTAAGGTGAAACTGAGTGGCTACACCGGGCATTACGGACCTTAGGTTTCTGGAGGCAAGAATCCTGGGTCCGAGAATCCACTCGCAAGGCGGCTTCACAAGCAGGCTGAGGATGGGACCGTTCGTCTTTGTCCCTCTGCCGGCACTGGCCACACCCATCATCCCTCGATACCTGCCCAAGAATCATGTCAAACTTGCGGAACGATATCAACTCAAGCTGTCCTTGCAGCAACACTCAGAGCCGTTAGGATGCGTTGGCAACAGTAAGAGCAGCAAAACACATCATGATGATGATGATGACGATGATAGCTACAGCTTATTTCGTTATTCTCGTTATTGTCATCAGATGAAGCATCCATCATCAACAGTATCACAACAATCACTATCCTGACCATAGATATCACCCTCATCATTATTGGTATATTATCCTTATTACTTAAATTCACACAGTTATCATTATTAAATGATAAACATATGTATATATATATATACATAGATATATATATATATATATATAGAGAGAGAGAGAGAGATCAAATATTTATCGCTAAACGACCCTTGGCATCCTCGCCCTTTTCATGACTCTCACCCTGACCATCGTCCTCAGCGTTGTCACTTAGAAGGGGTCCCCACCCTGTAATAGCGACTATATGAGGGCCCTATTATATTCCGAGTATACCACTAATACAGGGTGGGGGCCCCTTCTAAGTCCTGACTATCAACAACAGCACAGTCACACAGTTGACATAGGCACCTTCGCAATCTTCAATGTCACCATAATCAACAATATCATGGCCACGATAACCATCACAATCAACATTAACATGTACTCATACCAGCACTGAAAACGTAAACCTTAGTCATAATAATAAGAGACTCAGGCAGGGACAAAACAAAGGTTAAGCCCTAGAGCGGGCCCCCACCCTGTAATAGTGGTATAATAGGAATATGCGTGGGGGATTGATCTCGACTTGGTTGCTGCTCTCCCCACCAGAGCTGTAATGAATGTAGGTGTGGCTGGCTTGCACTCTCCACAGACTGGACCCTGTCTTTCCCTCTTACTTCCACACGTGCAATCCTATGCAGGCAGAACCGGCGGCCGTTCCTTTTGCACTCACTGCCGGCGGCGGTTCGTCTGTGCAACGGGATAGCTCTGATTGCTCAGGATAGAAGACACATATAGCACTTAGCTATGGGCATTGACTTGAGCCAAACGTTGCGTGGGCGGTCACATAGAAAGGTAAAGATGAGGGATGCGTAGCATGCCCCCTTAGAGTCGAGGGACGCGTAGCGTGCCCCCTTCTCTTGCACTTTACACGGTCTTGCTCACAGCTCTTATAGTGACACCTTAGAACTTGAC